ACATCACCCTCTCGATTTCGCAAGTGAAGGCTTTGAACCCACCGAAGAAGACCACGGAATTTTATCAACCCGACTTTACTTTTATGGGGAACGGAAATAATCCAGTAGACGCATTACAAAGGGGATGTCACCTCGTGTCTTATTGGTCTTAGAGAGACTGCATTATATCTCTGAGCGAATCACGACCTCATATTCATTCCCTCCCGATATCGTGGAGACCGAATGCTGTTCAGAGCTGGTCATCACCGTTCGGTATCGATTATTTATGCTGCAGAGTATCGTTGTTACACCTGTTATGGACTATCGACTAATTTATGATCACTCAAATCAGCGGTTCAGTTGGACCAACAGGCTTGGCGAACTATTTTCTCCGTTAGCCGGACTTTTTGCCCCGCGGGTTCGTAAACAAGAAAGAGCAGTCCTTAATTTTAACTATCTGCTGAAACAAAAAGACCTCATGACTCTCGATGACTATATGAAAAAATCTGTTGCTGCTATGACAATATTTTAAGCACCACGTCCTACGCTCACAAGAACTCAAATGACCGGAAAGGAAGTCGTGGCGAGAAGTGTTGAGGTTGACTGAAAGCAGGCAATCGTTCTATGCCAATTGTTTTCGTGTGCATTTGACTGTCGTTTCTGGAGCGCAAGCGAAAGTCCAACGATGCGCGCCACATCAATGGCTCTGAACCATTGACTTACGCTGCTTGGTCTGTGCGTTCCGGAAAGAAAGATTTCATGATTCTTGTTTCTCATGTTAGTAATTTTTTACATTCAATATTATATATCGCTATATTATATAAATTCAAAAGAATTCATTTTTTGGGCATCGTTTGAAACGATCCGTTAATCAGCAGCTCTCAGCTCAACTGGTGACTGGTGTCCTTCCATTGCCTGCCTTGAGACGGCGTATTGCTGATAGATTCCACGTCTCATCCTCATCTTCCGTAGTACCTTAGAGTCTCATCATAAGTCAAAAATCAGATTGAGGGCGAACTCCGCACTGTCTACATTCAAGTTATTGAATTTCCTTGATAATCACTCATCTTCTTTTCCAACTGCTCTATCAATAGCACAGATTAATGTGTTGCCAGTTTCATTTTTTCTCGCCTTGATGCAATGCAACATTTGTTGTGGAAAGCATGTAGTCATGATCTGCTATAGCAGCAAGACTATTAATGGTAAGGAATGAAGTGAGGTTCAGAGAGCTCATGAACATGTTATTTGTCATTGAGGTCAGCCACCGTATCTTCGACATCATATAAACCTGGAGTTATTGATCATCAGCTTAAGTAACTGTAACTATCGGTACAGATATGCACGATCGAAACCGGGTTGAATTATATCTATCATAAAACTTGTCCGACCATCTTCCAAACAAACAGTAAAATAAACATTATAATAATTAATCCCGGAAGTAGGGGTTTACTAATCAACTGGCGGTTTTCGATACGAAAATAATCCATAAGAAAAACAATCTTCTGTCACCACCTCTTCCGATTCAGACACCGCAGTTCTATCGTTTCCTTGCTCCTAGAAGCATAAGAGACCGTTTAGCAGGTCACGGCTATAAGGTATTTTAGAATCTGCGTTGCCTGGGCACACAACCACACTGCTTCGCTCTGTCGAATACGAACATGCTCCTGAACGTGTAAGCCAATCATAGACTAGCATTTTAACAAAACAAATTATGACTGGCTTCCAGGCCCTTCTTATTTCTGAATCACGTCAGATGAACAGTTTGATAGCCACAGGGTAATTAATGCTTGGCCACACCCTATGAAAAGTTACCACTGATGAAAATATCAGACGGCTTGCAAGACTGAAATACAATTGGCAGGACATCTGCATTGATGTTTTTTGCACTCGTGTGGGATTGTGTCCACGTTCGGAGTCGAACGCTACAGGGGCAGGGCTCTAGGGTCGTCTAAGCGAACCACCATGTGTCACCGCCGTTCCCACTAACAGCTTGTTGAACAATTTCGAACTCATAATTTTCAGTCATAGCCACTGAATTTTACAATGGATTAGTTCTTATTGGGAGACAAGGGTGTGGCACACCTTCCACTGAAGCAGCCGATCGAAAATGTGAAAATAAATACAAATTATTTAGGGTAAGTAAACACCTACTGTCAACCATGGACAGAAGCATTTCGACCACAGGAAGCATCAAAGCGCTTTGTTAATGAATTGAAATTGGTGACTTGGTAGTTAACAAGATAAACGATCGAGACATTCACAGAAAATGATACACATGTAATCGAATGATTGCTTTCAGTAAAATGGATTAGACTTCAGATTACAGCTTAACCGACATGATGAAGTAATGGAAATGGCAAATTTCGTAGAGAGGCGTTTAGTGAGGAATCTGAAACGCTTCTATGCTAAAAACAATAAAGGAGATGATAAGGACATTAAAAATAAAAATAAAACAAATGAAGCAATAAAAGAAATAAGATTGAAATTACTTCGTGCTACTTGACTAGTATGCCTTATGTTTTCAAGTTTTCTGATCCCTTGTCCCTAGCTTTGCCAAATGGTAGTCGGCATATTACACTCCATATAACTGCGCCGTGGTGTGGACAGCGAATGTGGCTGTTGCTGTTTCAAATGGGTACTTGAGTTTCATGGTACTTTGAGGAACGGTCAATTTTTGGCGACACATGATCATCAGGGTGATATGCCGTTTTTTTTGAACACACCATAACATAATCTTTAGGGTATCTTCTGTCTGTGAGCAACTTGGATAGTGGATAACGATGGCCCTCATATTCTGACCAAAAAAATGGATCTGTCCTTCTTTCACAGGATCTGAGAATCATTTCATCGAATATATTGCAGATGCACCGTGAGAAAAAATAATCAGATACCATAGAATTAGAATATATGAGACTTCATTTATTCATGGTTTTTTATAACACTCTACCTGAACGTTTTGTCCATATTCATAAGGAAAGCATATGGATTGCGTC